TTTCTTTCTCGCCTTCACATGAGACGTCGCAGCTTGTTGCTGCTCACATCGTTGTCCCCAGCTTCAACGATGTCCTAGCTCGGCCTCATTGTGGCCAATGCTCATCGCTGTTGTTCCTCACGCCATCCCCACCTTTGGGCTAATGTTGCACGGAATTGACTGACGCGCTGAAAAAATTAGGGCGTCACAATTAGCAAAACCGATTTAACATACATAAAGTCTGTTATGTTGGTCAAACTGTCAATTAAGACTAGACATGTGCCTTTTTATAAAACAGGAAATGATGTAGTAGTAATCAAGACATTAACGCCCCGAGTGTCAGTTTTTGAAGGAAAGCTCGAGTATAAATTTTGCGAAACCACATACAAAAAATCAAATTTATCTCATTTCACATCTCTTTAAGACTCATAAACAACCTTACAATGTCACGTGTCGTTCTTCTATGTGAAGGGCTAGCCCTAGCCTGTCGATACGAAGAACCCATTACAGCGAGTGAGTGGACATCAATAATAATCGCAACAAAACCTAAGCAACATGCACACGGGTGGCAACGGATTGGTACGGATCGAATAGTGCTCTTACCACTACCGTTTTCATATTTTCAAAACAAATATGAATGTGAATACGGATGTTATTGGATACAAATGCGGATTGGATGTTACTTGAATATAGATACATATCGGATGTTACTCAATTCGAAACGGATACGAATAATAGCGATATATTAGTTAAAGGAAATAAGACAATAGCTATGTGATACAAAATAATCAACTTGCAAGGTATAAAAAGTCAATAAATACTACCGTAATGCATAATAATACCGAAGTTTAATCATACAAAAACTAAAATCTGACAACATATTAGGCTTTGTTGTTGGATAATTGGCATACTGGGGCTAGAATTACTTAATTTAGCGCACAAAATTTTATTCAGATACAAATGTATCCACTTCCATATTCATATTTGTGTCAGAATCCCGTGCTATGTTTGTGTCCAATTCGGTATTCATACTTGTGTGCAAAATTTATTCGTGTCAGTAAAATAAACTCGGATATCTTTCAATTCCATTTCCGTTTTAATTTGGATGCGGATGTTTTGGATTTGAATATGCATTTTCTCAGAGTATTTTTCATTGTCACTTTCCACCCTTACGCCCACCAAACACCTCTCAGACGAACAGATATGCCAAATGCAAACGCACCGAATCAGTACTTGTCATCTGCATCAGGAAATAAAATTGAGGCCTTGTCTGTTGATCCTCTCTCCAAAGAGATTGGAGAGGATTAGAGGGGAGTGAGAGGGATAATCTTGCGCCAAGGACACGCGCACATAAAAATCTAGGTTCTGAATTAGTCACCAACACCGCTTTGCTAACATAATGAGATTAAAGATATAAAGGTCTCTAAATCTCACCCCCTTCCTTTTTCTTCGACATGCACATCTTCCATCACGCAAATCAATGCATTTTATTTCCAAGATCATCATCTCCGCACTAAAAGGCAGCCATCTCATTCTGCTATGGCAACTTGAAAACGACTGCCATAATAACTGACCTCAAAATATAAGAGCTGAGTCCCCCGTTGTACACTGAACGCAAGAAAAGAACACAACTCACATGCTTAACGGAGGATGTATAAGGCTTCTCAGTTCTCACACTCAAACCGGAAGCACTTGCAAACCTGATGAGAATCAGCAAATTTGTTTCGTGGGCAGATGATGACATTTCATCTGACAGCCAGATCCACCACTCGCCAAATCTCTATAACAAATACTCCCTCCGTCCCATAATATAAGGCCGTTTTTTGCACTATACTAGTATAAAAAACGTTCTTATATTATGGGACGAGGGAGTAACAAATAAAAGAAGAAGAAACCCAGAGCTGTTCTCTCACAATAGGCGAGAACTCAAACTCAAAACTATAAACATCTAACCTTCTTTTTTTCTACCAGATCTACAGATCTCTTTCTTCATCACCAGAGCTCAGCTGACTGACGCCTCTTCATCATCATCAGTGGTTCCAGCCTCTCTCCTTGTCCCTGTTGTGCACGCCCCCCCTGGGCGCACCGCCGCCGGGACCGCCACTCGCCGGCACGCGCCGCGCGGCCGCCCGGCGAGCGCTGTCGATGCCCTGTGCGGCGGCGGCAGCAGCGGCGCCGGCCCTCCTCCCCGCCTGCCCCGACTGTGGCGGCCTGATGACCACCTTCTTCTGCAGGCTGCGCCGCAGGATGCTGTTGATCCTCTTGCTCCTGCTGCCCTTGTCGTTGGACATAACGGGAGGCGAGCTCAATGGCGGCGAGGAGTACTCCTTGATCTTGTCAAGCGGTGACGCTGCTGCAGGCGCCGGCGTCTTGGCACCGCCGGCTGCGGGGAGTGGCATCAGCGAGTTGCGGCGCGGCAGCGGGATGAGCGAGCTGCGGCGGGGCTGGTGCGCCCCTCCGTTGCAGAGCGAGACCCGCCTGGCCTTTGCGGCGTCTGGGTTGGCGTTCTCCTTCTCCTCCGCCAGAGACATGAGCTGGTTGAAGCTGTAGGTGTCGCTGTTGTTGCTGTCCGAGAACGTCTGCTTCGCCATCATCCCGAGGTCCTTTTTGGGTGCTGCTGATAGTGGCGGTCTCTCCATGGTGCTGTTGAGGTTCCTCTCTGACATGGGGCTTCTCATGTAGGTGTTGTTCTCTTCCTTGAGGCCTTGCTGCTGCTGCTGCTGCTGCTTTCGCTCGACGTCTTGGGCGATCTTGTTGTCGACGTGCTGCCTCGCTATCTTCCTCTCGACCAGCAGCTGTGATTCCAACTCTTTGATCTGAAAAGAAAGATGATCAACGATGAACATGATGATTCTTCATGCATAGCAGTGACAAGGCAGCTTGTACTATTTCAGCCATGGTGGTTGCAATGCAACCTGCAGTTAAAATGGGATGCTGAAAGAAGTCGAAGGCGGCGCGAAGTACCTTATCTTGGAGATTCATGGTGAGCAGGTCCTTGGCCTTGTTCTTGGCTTCAAGGGATTGGATTGTTTCTTCCATGCTCTTGATCTGAGCATCTTTGCTCTTGCAGTCCTGTTTGGCTCTGCCAACCTAGCAGAACAACAAGAGCATGCATTCAGATTTTAGACATCCAGAGGTTAAAGTTGTATTAAAATATGGATTAGCAGGAAGGGCAGTAGAGTACCATAAGCTTATATCTTGATAGTTCTCCAACATCAACTTGTTTCCTTGCCTGTCCAAGCTCTATCCCCCTCACCCTGCTCGCAAAGTTAAGCGAGCAGAGAGTTTCGCCCACGTCATTTTCGTTGGGGCTAATTTGAACAAACATCAAAGTTTTGGAGTCTCCACCTGCAGTGCTTACACACATTATCGCCAAAACTAAAGGATAGGTTCAAATCAAACCAGCATAAGGAGAAGAAAACAAAATTGCGTACTCAGTGAGTCTTGCAGCAAGTGCGTTAACTTTGAGTTCCTGCCAGTTTGACAAATAAATATGTTAGTGAGATCTTGTATATAAATCACCAGTGCAAACTATAACCAAGGTTTGAAAGTTTGAAACCTGAAGGGTATATGCTGGCTCTTAGTTGCAAGAGCAGATATGACATCTCCAAGTGCAGAAAGGGACTTGTTAATATTCTGTGCTTCTTTCAGTCGTTCGCCTTGAGCATCTGTCTTTGCCACACGCTCACTTCCGGCTAGGTCAATGAGCCACAGCTTACTGTTTGTGCGTTCTCCATTCATCAAGTTTTCTCCTTTGACCATCACGCAATGTATACTGAATGGAAAATTAGTTAGGACATGATTTTACAATCCACTACTTAGTGCAAGTGAATGGAAAACTGGTGAGCAGCGGTAAGAACATCAAGGTACTGACCAGTGCGATCGGCTGCTGTGCTCGTTAGCATTTGTGGAACCAACAACTCTGGCTTTGCTTCCAGTTTGCAGGACATCCCAGGCCTCATCCATGTTACTGACTCGTGCTTCAACCAGTCCTGGTACATGATGAACTCCTTCTGCAACTT